GAATGCAATATAGGCGAGTGACGTCAGACCGTTTGTTGTCATTGGCGGCTCCCAAGATGGCGTCCATCATGGAAGGGCCGCTGAGCAAATGGACTAACGTGATGAAGGGCTGGCAGTACCGCTGGTTTGTGCTGGACTATAATGCAGGACTTCTCTCCTACTACACGGTGAGTTCTTGGAGGACAACGCTCCGAGCGCCTCCGGGTCGCACTGCCTGACTGGAGGTGGCCGGCTGGGGTTTTAGATAGCCGAGTTGAGGTTGTTAGGCTGGGGGTGCCGCCGTACGAGAGGGTTCCCTTGTTGGGGAGGGCTTCACGTCCTGTATAGCCAATGAGGGTGAAGGAGATGCGGGCACCGCCAATAAGCAGGCACTAGCTGTCTGATTTATGGGCTGGGGAGAGCCACGTTCCTTTTTTAGGGTCCGCGGTAAGCTGTGGTGGGGTCTGCTACACTTGTGTGAGCAAGGATGGTCGTTGTCATGTTTTAAAGGGTCTGATCTTGCGGTTCATGCCCTCTCCCCACGTTGTCAAGGACTTTACACTGTCCCCCCCAGGCCCTGTAAACGGCCGCACCCCTTAGCTTCCCTGCAGGGACCGAAGCGCTCTGCTTTCTTGGGGCTGTGCTCAGACGAGCCGAGATGGATCCAAAGGTGACTGGCCCTCTGGCAACACTAATGGGTATGAAATTCCTCCTGTCTGTCCACGTTGAGTGTCTCATTCAAGGGACGCACCCTATTCAGCCAGAAGTGAGCTTAACCGACGCCTTAACTTTCTTACATGCGAGTCTCTTGTTAGCGAAAAGAGATAAGAGATAGTGTAGTGTCCCTCTGAAAGTTACGTTCTGGAGAAGGCTGAGTTCAGGGTTTCACTGTTGTTAACACGAATCAGTGATTGTGGGCAAGTAGATGAATTGCTATGAAGCTTATGTTCTGATTATTTCTTCCACCCCCATCGCATTAGGTATGGAAGGTGGGTGGTATTAGAAAGGGAAATTACTTCCAAAAGTACTTTCTCTGAATGGTGTATAGTTAATAATAGCCAATGAGAGGGAGGAAGCAACTTACAAAATAGAATGTACTGAAGGCTTTAGAAAATAATAGAAGACAGAAAAAATAAAATTATGGAAGAAAGGGGTAATGCTAGTAAGAGAAATTAGGGACAAAAATATTTGTTCGTTCACTTAAAAAACACTGAGCTCCTGCTCTGTGAATTTCCTTGCCAGCCAGAATTAATGGTGATATAAACATTCATCGTTCCTCTTTTCTGGAGCTTATACTCTTTCTAGTCTAGCAGGTCCCTTAATTCATTTTACTCTCAATAACTTTGCAGGGTAGTAGGTATTCATTATTCCCGTTTAATATCCCCAATTACAGTTTTGGATCCTGAGGCTATAGGCTTTTAAGTAATTTGCTTGATTGCATAGCTAGCAGTAAGTGGTGAAATCAGGATGGCAAATTCTTGGCTTTCTGACTTTTCCCTCTAAACTTCACTTTCACTACAGGGGGAAAAGTACAAGCTGTGAGTTATTACATGCAAATCTGCCAGAGTGAATGTATTACTTCCACCATCGTTCAACCATCAACTTAACTTTCTCTATATAGGTTGAAAAGGAAAAAGACCAAATCTTAATGAGTCCTAAACACACTGTTCAAGATTATCTTTAGGTAGCCACTAAAGAGAGGCAACTGAATATTGTAGCCTGAAAACTCTGGAATTATGAATTCTGTGGCTCAGATAAATGAAAATAATATTGGGTTTCAGTAGATGTGATAATTGGAAAATACTATGGAACTTTTTCAACCTATTTAGGATGGAATAATTTCCATGAATGGCACTATGCAGTTAAGTTACTTTACAAACCCCAAATTGTGTGGGCCTGAATTTGAAGCCATCCCAGAGAGGCCCTAAGCTGGAGAACTCCTAGCCCAGCCAGAATCTTTTTTTTTCTGTTTTCTTTCCTTTAGTGTATTCTTTTTCTGCCTCATTGCCCTTTTAGTTTTTGAATACTTGAACAAATTTCTCCTTGTCTTACTGGCTAAATACAGGTTTCTCATGTACTTCTTTTTTTGTCCCCTTGATACTTCTCTTTCTGAGATTAGATTATGTAAAATGTTATCCTTGCAAGAGAAAGGAGGTATCATATTTCTCACTAATGGATGCTTGGAAGGTTTTTTCCTTTCTAGTTGTTTGATGTTATTTTCTTGCAGAGAAATGATGAAAATATTGTCCCATCTTGTGAAAATAAAATAACCCAATTTTAAATTAGAGGAGGTCCAGTAAAGATGGGAAAAGGACAGATATTCACTTAAAGGGAAAGTAGGAGACATACTGAGTATTGGCAATGAATTCTGTATGCCTAGACGTTGTTTCAGTGCATGATGATTGTGAAGGTACATATTCGAGGGTACGTATTGGCATATAT